CCCCCCCCCCCCCCCCCCCATCTGAAGGTCTGTATCCGCCCCCTTTGTCCCTAAAACCGCGGAATCGTGTTAGAATTTGAATATATCGAACGTGGGCTATTGATATCCTTTTAACCCTCCCTAGAGGCCTAAGGAGGCCTAGTGGAGTTAAATGCAAAAGGCATTCCTACTGGGGTTAGAAGGGATATTAAGAATAGCTTGGAAACATAAGCGTGAAGAAAAAAGGCGGAGAAGCCAATGTGCTAAGGCGATGGCGTTGGATATATTGCAACTTTGCTGTGTTATTACTCATATAGAGATAATAATAAATAGTAAAAATAATATTGATAATAATTATCTTTTAAGTTTACAGCGAAGGGCGTAGCTCATGTTGTGAGACCTCTCATTCTAATGCTGATCTAGCCAATAACTCCAGGACCTATTGACAGTTTTCTATTTGTCAGGCAATATTTACATGCCATTCATTCGATCTCCAGTCCTTTCTTGACGGAGGCTAAGCTTTCCTGAACCATCAGTTGCGGCATTTGCTAGCCTTGATATTCCACTCCATTCAGCCCCAATGGAAGACTCAGTTTACAAGAAAGTATGAGTTGGGCTTGGGTATTTAAGCCGGACCAGAATAACAGTTTTTGTGTCTGTACTTGTATCAACTGTTGTTATGTTTCTTGAAGAGACCTTGTATACCTAACTGAGCAGTTCCATAAATAACTATGTACGCTTAACTTAGTTTCTAGTATATATTGCAGTTGAGGTTTCTAGCGTTCGCTATCATAATTTTTTCCTTCAAAGGACATCTCCGGTGGCTTATATATTCGTCTAACTTATGTACAACTTTTTTGGCACGAAAGCAACGCATTGTTACATCTAGGTTTTTCTTTAAGTACCTAGAAAAATTAAAGACAAGGCAATGGAAGTAAAATATACGTCGCCCCGTGAAAGGGAATCCAAGACAGTCTTAGTCTCTTGGATCTTGGATTCCACGCCGCGGATTCCGGATTCCTGGTACTGGATTCCAGTCTTTCACAGTGTAACTTGGATTCTGGATTCCTATTGTTAGTGGAATATAATTCCGGTTTCCTTGAGCTGTATTTCAGATTCCAATGCCCTGGATTCCAGATTCCACAAGCAAAATTTTCGCGGATTCTGGATCCCACAAGCAAAAATTTTCCGGGTGATGACTTGATAATATTGCATGTTGATTGCCATGTCAGTCGAGTAGCGACAATAGTCCCGACGTGCGTCGGATGTTTCATGCGAAATAAAACAGAATGCAAGAGATCATCTTCAGCCTGGTTACCCTTCAGTTGAACACCAATAAAACAATTCTATAACACCGCAGCCGAGTTCACATCAGGCCTCGTTGAGCTAGGAAAATTGTAAGACTAATGAATGACCGAGGGAAAAAGGAAGGCCAGAAAAATAAAACCACCTCGATACTGTTGGTGGTTTGTGGAAAAATATCATTTCTTTCCATGGCCTTAACTATCGGTTTGTGTCACTTGAGAATAGAAACGTATATCTTGTGCTGCAGAAAATGTAAGCCACCATTCTACCACATGTCTCTCTTTTCCATTTTCTTCCTCTCGCACTCTCTCCCCCTCCCCACCCTCCTTAGTGTTAAGCAGCCTAATTGTAATTTACGGTTGCCTAGGGTACCCTGCCCAAAATTATTATATACTTTGAAAACGCACAATTTAAAGAAACAAAAAAGTGTAAAATTGAATGCATCAAAAATGATAGCCTCGGTTTTACTGCGCTAGAGCAATAAAAATAGGTTGCATAAGGTCCTTAGTCCCAGATGGGAGTTGATAATGATTCTCAACGAAGGAGAGTCCTCAAGCAATTATATATATATATATATATATATATATNAGTATGAGTTGGGCTTGGGTATTTAAGCCGGACCAGAATAACAGTTTTTGTGTCTGTACTTGTATCAACTGTTGTTATGTTTCTTGAAGAGATCTTGTATACCTAACTGAGCAGCTCCATAAATAAGTATGTACGCTTAATTTAGTTTCTAGTATATATTGCAGTTGAGGTTTCTAGCGTTCGCTATCATAATTTTTTCCTTCAAAGGACATCTCCGGTGGCTTATATATTCGTCTAACTTATGTACAACTTTTTTGGCACGAAAGTAACGCATTGTTACATCTAGGTTTTTATTCTTTGTTCAAAAGTTTCTTTAAGTACCTAGAAAAATTAAAGACAAGGCAATGGACGTAAAATATACGTCGTCCCGTGAAAGGGAATCCAAGACAGTCTTAGTCTCTTGGATCTTGGATTTCACGCCGCGGATTCCGGATTCCTGGTTTTGGATTCCAGTCTTTCACAGTGTAACTTGTATTCTGGATTCCTATTGTTAGTGGAATATAATTCCGGTTTCCTTGAGCTGTATTTCAGATTCCAATGCCCTGGATTCCAGATTCCACAAGCAAAATTTTCGCGGATTCTGGATCCCACAAGCAAAAATTTTCCGGATGATGACTTGATAATATTGCATGTTGATTGCCATGTCAGTCGAGTAGCGACAATAGTCCCGACATGCGTCGGATGTTTCATGCGAAATAAAACAGAATGCAAGAGATCATCTTCAGCCTGGTTACCCTTCAATTGAACACCAATAAAACAATTCTATAACACCGCAGCCGAGTTCACACCAGGCCTCGTTAAGCTAGGAAAATTGTAAGACCAATGAATGACCAAGGGAAAAAGGAAGGCCAGAAAAATAAAACCACCTCGATACTGTTGGTGGTTTGTGGAAAAATATCATTTCTTTCCATGGCCTTAACTATCGGTTTGTGTCACTTGAGAATAGAAACGTATATCTTGTGCTGCAGAAAATGTAAGCCACCATTCTACCACATGTCTCTCTTTTCCATTTTCTTCCTCTCGCACTCTCTCCCCCTCCCCACCCTCCTTAGTGTTAAGCAGCCTAATTGTAATTTACGGTTGCCTAGGGTACCCTGCCCAAAATTATTATATACTTTGAAAACGCACAATTTAAAGAAACAAAAAAGTGTAAAATTGAATGCATCAAAAATGATAGCCTCGGTTTTACTGCGCTAGAGCAATAAAAATAGGTTGCATAAGGTCCTTAGTCCCAGATGGGAGTTGATAATGATTCTCAACGAAGGAGAGTCCTCAAGCAATTATATATATATATATATATATATATATTATATCAACAGAGTTTAGCAAACTTTCCGCCAAACGATATATCGATTACAAGATGAATACCATATATGAGAGAAATAAAACCAACAAAAATGGCTACAGAGTGGTCCAGAAACCATACACTCCTTCCAACCTGCCTGTAAATGAAAGTTGAACACAACACACCCAGCGACATGGCGGCAGCAAGCCAAGAATCCACAGCTGATGCACGTAAAGATGGACTTTGGAGTTTCTTAGCGATACAGTTTTGCAGTAACGCAAGGTTAGAATAGCACACAAGACTTGCAGCTAGAATAATTATCAATTCGTCCGGTTTTTCAGGCCGATCGTGTGCCATCAGACGAAGCATTGCAACCGCGACTGTCGCGCAGCCACTCCCTAGAAAGGTCACTGCGATACCAAGGGTGGCCATTTTCTCGCGTTTAGGCGTCTTCTCTCCGTTTTGAACATCTCGAAATCTCCAAGCCACTATCAACGAGTTAACAGCTCCAAGAATTCCGTCAAATGCGCTGGTAAAAATGGACGAACTTTCGGTGGAGTTCGATGCCTCAAAGGAAAGCACGCTAAATATGACAGTGACAAAAAATGACCCGACGCACACTGCGAACGCCGCCCTGCTCCACTTCTCGCGAAATTTTTGTGGTACGAAGAAATCGTCGTGAGATTTATCTTCTTCCAAGTATGACACACAATGTTTGTCTTTCAGCGGTTGTTCGTCGTCCTCATCATCAGTGAATGCCTCCATTGTGACGCTTCTTTGAGAACCCGGGGAGCTGTTACAGCTTGCCATTTTCATAAACAGTTCGATTCTGATAAAGTAATCTACCGGTCAATTTTGGGTAAGTTTTCTATGAGCTAGTTTCTTGAAATCACCTTGCTGCTTCACTCCAGAAATCAAGGTTTACTCATCCTGTAGTGCTTGCTTTGATTCACTTAGTCGCCGCGGAGTTTCTTATTGTTGCCCGGTTTAGGAATAAAGTTATTTTCGCATTGACAACTCATCGAAGGCCAACGAGCAGTTGAATAATACACAAAGAAGAGCAACTTCCATTTTGAAAGACGTCAAATTACACACATTCAGACTTGTGAGGCTTCAGAAACACAGTCAATGGTCCATAGAAACGGAGACAAGTTACTGGGATTTAAAATATTTGCTCTTACCACCTTAGACGACATAATTGACCAATCAGATCAATAACCAGAGTATATTACCATCAACTGACGTGATACAACTCACTTTGACTCTGAAGATGACTACCGCACAGGTTGTCGAAACTTCAGTCACTGTCAACAACAACAACAACAGTCCTATTCGGGACTGCATTCACTCGGACGATCAAACTCAACCTACTTTTGAAATGACTCCTGGGTTCAAACCTTTCACAGCATACAATTTACTTCAGTAAAAGTAAAGCGTGAAAAAACATAATTTTCACCATGTGCGAAACCTTCAAATCGATTAAGCGGCTGGTGGTTGAATGTTAGAAGGATGGTCTACAGATTCTACAGATTCCTGTAAACATTTCTTTGGGCAAATGATTACTAGCGACGCGAGAGCTTTTCAAAATCTGTTGAAAATGCAGATATTTGACCTTCCACGGTCAACTTTGAAGTTGCGAGTTGAACATAAAATTTAGTCCCTTCACCCACATTTAGTTAAAATAAGCAGATAGAAAACCGTTTCGAAATGTTCTTACCTTATTACGAGCAGTAAACTAAACTAAACTTGAAAAAAGAAACCCAAATTACTTGGTCACGTGATCGACCACGCCCTCTTGTTCAAAAATTGTAACCAACGGTTCCCACCACACTTGCCATGCGTAAAGCTCTGGTTTCTCTATATCAAAACATAGACCATGCCAAGTGTCTACGAAATCAGCTAGGAATGGTTCGAAGCAATACAATTGGTAGGTGCAATTGGTGTTTATTGACTAGTGCCAGTTCTCCTCAAACTAAAATTTTCGTCAGGGGAAAGACGCATATTACATTGAGCTCGTCTCATTCGGACCGTTTTTACAAGAAGACTGTTAATATCCCTTTTTAGACCTACAAAAGGAAAATGGTTTTCGCTCTATCTAGTGAGAATTCCGATTATAAAAAGGAAATCTTGATAAAAAGGGCGTGGCTAGCCACGTGACGCAGCTATAAATTTAAAAATGAAATTGGAAGATTTCTTGGTTTGATTGGCCTTAAATTAATGTCATAGGATATCTTGAGAATACTTAACATTAGGCCAACCCCATTTTAAAATTCTGAGAAAACTGAAAAGACCCTACTTGAGTTACCGAAAAAAGGCCACGAAAGCCTAAAACTAATATTAAAATTCTAACATGAATCCGAGGCTTTCTGGTACTCTTTCTATGGTTAGTATGGTTTCTTTCTGCTCGAGTCTCTTCTGGGAATTGGGAGACGTCGGAGTCATGAAAAATTTCTTATGTCAGTGGCGGATCCAGGGGAGGGGCCCGGGGGCTTGCACCCCCCCCCCCCTTATATATGGACCAAACTGAGGCCCAAAGTGTCGAAGAAATTTTTTCCCTCCCCCCTCATCTGAGGGTCTGTATCCGCCCCCTTTGTCCCTAAAACTGCGGAGTCGTGTCTGGATCCGCCCCCTTTGTCCCTAAAACCGCGGAATCGTGTTAGAATTTGTGGGCTATTGATATCCTTTTAACCCTCCCTAGAGGCCTAAGGAGGCCTAGTGGAGTTAATGCAAAAGGCATTCCTACTGGGGTTAGAAGGGATATTAAGAATAGCTTGGAAACATAAGCGTAAAGAAAAAAGGCGGAGAAGCCAATGTGCTAAGGCGATGGCGTTGGATATATTGCAACTTTGCTGTGTTATTACTCATATAGTGATAATAATAAATAATAAAAATAATATTGATAATAATTATCTTTTAAGTTTACAGCGAAGGGCGTAGCTGATGTTGTGAGACCTCTCATTCTAATGCTGATCTAGCCAATAACTCCAGGACCTATTGACAGTTTTCTATTTGTACATGCAATATTTACATGCCATTTATTCTCCAGTCCTTTCTTGACGGAGGCTAAGCTTTCCTGAACCATCAGTTGCGGCATTTGCTAGCCTTGATATTCCACTCCATTCAACCCCAATGGAAGACTTAGTTTACAAGAAAGTATGAGTTGGGCTTGGGTATTTAAGCCGGACCAGAATAACAGTTTTTGTGTCTGTACTTGTATCAACTGTTGTTATGTTTCTTGAAGAGATCTTGTATACCTAACTGAGCAGCTCCATAAATAAGTATGTACGCTTAATTTAGTTTCTAGTATATATTGCAGTTGAGGTTTCTAGCGTTCGCTATCATAATTTTTTCCTTCAAAGGACATCTCCGGTGGCTTATATATTCGTCTAACTTATGTACAACTTTTTTGGCACGAAAGTAACGCATTGTTACATCTAGGTTTTTATTCTTTGTTCAAAAGTTTCTTTAAGTACCTAGAAAAATTAAAGACAAGGCAATGGACGTAAAATATACGTCGTCCCGTGAAAGGGAATCCAAGACAGTCTTAGTCTCTTGGATCTTGGATTTCACGCCGCGGATTCCGGATTCCTGGTTTTGGATTCCAGTCTTTCACAGTGTAACTTGTATTCTGGATTCCTATTGTTAGTGGAATATAATTCCGGTTTCCTTGAGCTGTATTTCAGATTCCAATGCCCTGGATTCCAGATTCCACAAGCAAAATTTTCGCGGATTCTGGATCCCACAAGCAAAAATTTTCCGGATGATGACTTGATAATATTGCATGTTGATTGCCATGTCAGTCGAGTAGCGACAATAGTCCCGACATGCGTCGGATGTTTCATGCGAAATAAAACAGAATGCAAGAGATCATCTTCAGCCTGGTTACCCTTCAATTGAACACCAATAAAACAATTCTATAACACCGCAGCCGAGTTCACACCAGGCCTCGTTAAGCTAGGAAAATTGTAAGACCAATGAATGACCAAGGGAAAAAGGAAGGCCAGAAAAATAAAACCACCTCGATACTGTTGGTGGTTTGTGGAAAAATATCATTTCTTTCCATGGCCTTAACTATCGGTTTGTGTCACTTGGAAATAGAAACGTATATCTTGTGCTGCAGAAAATGTAAGCCACCATTCTACCACATGTCTCTCTTTTCCATTTTCTTCCTCTCGCACTCTCTCCCCCTCCCCACCCTCCTTAGTGTTAAGCAGCCTAATTGTAATTTACGGTTGCCTAAGTTACCCTACCCAAAATTATTATATACTTTGAAAACGCACAATTTAAAGAAACAAAAAAGTGTAAAATTGAATGCATCAAAAATGATAGCCTCGGTTTTACTGCGCTAGAGCAATAAAAATAGGTTGCATAAGGTCCTTAGTCCCAGATGGGAGTTGATAATGATTCTCAACGAAGGAGAGTCCTCAAGCAATTATATATATATATATATATATATATAT